GGCGGCGGCGGCGGCTGCAGCGAGGGCGGCCCGGCCGGCGCCGTCAATCATCTGGGGGCGGGCGCGGAACGTCACCAATTGGCGCGCGGCGAGCCTGCTCGCCCCAGAATCCTACGCGCGCGAGGGACGGGGAGTCGAGGAGGGGGCGGGGCAACACGGAGGCATGCGCAATGGCCTCTTTTGCGCCCTGGGCAGCTCTCGTACCTGAACTGGCGGAAGTGACGCGACGTGCCAGCCGTATTTGCCGCCGGGGCCAGTCTTGGGTCCCCGCCTGTCTTGTTTTGCGAGGACGTCCGATTCTCTTTAGGGTTTGTTGAGTTCTTGGGCCAAAAAAGTGTTTCAGTTTAGGGGCACCCATAGCCCCTGATACCCCGAGAGGCCTTGTGTATCTTTCCACATGGGTTCTGTTGTTTCAACCGCACATCGCCATATCAGACCTTGAGTCCTCCATTTTAGAGATGGGGAAACTGAGACTTACGAAGTCTGTTAGCACAGAACCCTCTAAGGTGCAGGATGGAGAAGAGGCATGGCACGTCTGTTCCCATCCACTCAATGGGGTTTCCACTTGCTGTAACCTCAACAGACTGACAATTGGTTGACATCCGGGAGCTGCCCACTACTGTCGCCGGCCCCATGTCCCTGATGCACAGTGTTTCCTTGGAAGAATGCATGGTGTTCTTTAGAGGAGTTATACAGTGTTCCTCCAAGTGAGATAAGAGAAGTAAAGTGTGGCTTTTGAAAAATGACAAGTAAGAGGTTTGCTGACCCATAAAAGCTCAAGGACAGCCTGAACTCCAGTACAAGGGAACATTAGCATACTAAAACTCCTGCCCTGGGCAGAGATGTTGGTGTTTGGTGGCATTAAAAAAAAAAAAAACAACTTACTGCCCTTGAGTGGTTCCAACTCATAGCAACCCCTCCTTGGGTTTTCTAAGCAGTTTTCTTTCCAAGGAGTGGCTGGTGGATTTGAACTGCCAGCCTTCTGGTTAGCAGTCCAGTGCCTTAGGCACTATGCCACCAGAGCTCCTTCTGGTGGTATGGTGGAAAGACATTTGGCTGCTAACTAGGTCGGCAGTTCAAACCACCGGTTGCTCCTTGGGAGGAAGATGAAGCAATCTACTTCCATAAAGATTTACAGCCTTGGAAACCCTTGGGGGTCACTATGAGTTGGAATCCACTCCATGGCAGTGAGTTCGGTTTTATGGGGGACAGAGCTTTAACATTATAAGACACGCTGAGAGCTGCCATCTTTGTATCCCACACTGTACACTTAATTAACATGTAATTATATGAAATTATATGTATAACAAAGGTGGAGGGATTTCTGACTGCTAACTAGAATGTTGGCAGTTCAAACCCACCAGCCACTCTGCTGAAGGAAGAAGACATTACTTTACTTCCATAAAGATGGACCACCTCAGAAACTCAATGGGGGTCACTATGAGTCAGAATCGACTCAAAGGCAGTGGGTTTGGTTGTTTTTTGTTTTTGCTTTTGGCATATATATATCATGATTCCGATGTAATTCTTCACCCTGTAAAGGAAATTTGGAAATCAACCAGAGGCACATAGAGTCGGAGGGAATGCCTGCCAGTCTCAGCTCGTGCTTGAACCTAGTAAAGGCCATGTCCTTTGCTCTTCAGCCTGGTGTGTCTTTATTGGCCTAAGTCACTCCAGGCAGTGGACCTGCTGCTTAGTGGGCGTCATCCCTGTGAGCTGGCCTGACACACGTATCTAGGCCTGGATGTTCTCAATCAAGACAAAACTGTTGTTGTTGTTGTTATGTACCGTCGACTCATAGCGACCCCTTTGGGTTTCTGAGGCGGTATCACTCTGGAAGTAGATTGCCCAAACTTCCTTCTGAGGAGTGGCTGGTGGGTTTGAACCGCCAGCCTTCTGGTTAGCAGTCAAGTGCCTGAAGCACTATGCTACAAAACCAACCCACTCCAAAGTCATGTCTGAACACAGACAAAACATATACACTCTCCAAGCCACAAAACTGACCGAACACCCCCTACCCAGGCCAATAAGAGTGACTGCTGCCTCTTTATTAATTACAAGTTTAGCTTTTGTCCAGTCTGCATGTCCTCTAGATAAGATTTATTAAGATACTAAGTGATGGAATTACCTTGTCTTTGTTATCATCCAATCCAGAACAAAGCTTACTTCCATAAGCCTTCCCTCAAATTACACTTGGGCTCACCAAGAGTCAACTGGTGGTAACTGTTTTTCATCTGAATCTCTTCACACGGGGTGACTGCGGTAGGAGGATCTGGTCACCATATCCCAAAGGAGCAGCGATCAGGCCTTGCAGGAGAGGAGGGGCAGAAAGCGGAACCCTGCGGTGGACCCAGGGAGCTATGGGCAGGCTCCCACAGCAGAGCAGGTCGGCCCGGTCCTGCCTAGGTTCCCGTCTACTCTGTTAAGCCTGGGGCAAGGTGGACAAATGAGTCAGTAAAGAAATGAGGAGCTCTTTTGAGATTTGGTTTATTACACAGGTAAGAAGAGTACCCCCAGGTGCCAGGTCCCATGGCCCTTGTGCAGGGTGATACAGCAAAGTGACCAGATGACTACACGATGGCAGGACCCCATGGTGCTGCAATGCCGGCCGTGCTGCAGCTGGGCCCTAACATGGTGAGGCAGGAAGTCTTCTGCCTCATCAGAACCTGACAGCCTCCTGTGGGACAGGGAAACAGGTGGGGTACAGCCTCAGAGCCAGTCCTGCCAGGGGTCCCCAGCACTGGTGCTCCGGAAGGGCACCAGGTGTCTGCCTGAACTTGGAATCAGCTGTGGGTCCAGCCTTGTCCATGTGGCCAATATGGATGCCTCTGAGGTGGCCAAGGGACCCTAGGAGAGCTATTTCCCTACACTTCCTTCTCCCAGTTCCCTTAGTGTTCCTCCGCTCCCAAGGCTACATCGTCAGGGATCTCTGGAAGCACGGAATGACTGTGGGGAGGGGAATGGCTCCAAGGAAAATGGAAATAAGTCATAAGCTTAAGAGAAGAGACACAATGCCACCCAGAAAATGGGAGTTACAACCGTCAGATGCTTTGGGAGGTCTAAACGGGGGGCTGTAGACACACTTTCCAAATGAGTGTACTGCTCCTTTCTGTAGCTGATCACTCTGCGTGGAACAATTCAGGTTTCAGTCTTTAAAATAACAATAAATTCAACCAGACTGTGGTGCAGAGAAACAACAGTGGATGTCAACAGCCTCGAACCAGTCCTGCAGCCCCCGCTGAGGTCAGCCCTGCAGGCCGGGGGCAGTGGGGAGAGCACAGCAGGGCGGAGGGTCGCCTGGACGCAGAGGCAACCTCCCGGATGAGCCCAGTGTGCCCCGTCTCCCGCCACGTCCGCCCCCTGTAACCCCATCCCTGGGTATGGGTGAACCTATCAAACAGTACCAACAGCAAGCCTGCTGTGGTAGTTAAGGTTGTGTGTCAACTTGGCCAGGCCTGGTTGAGTGGCCGGGCAGCTGGTGGTACTTATTCCCCATGATGAGACTGGCAATCAACTCCATGGTGGGCTCTACCACAAGCAGCTGAGTAGCTGCCTTTGGGATGTGGTCTGCTTCTTGTACATAACGAGAAGCCTTGGGAATGGTCTCTAGCTTATGGCACGCTTGAGCCCTGCATGTAGCCACGTCATTGTTCAGCAGCCTGCCATGCTCTGCTGACCTTGGGACTTTCAGTGAACTTGAATTAATGGCCTGCTGTGTTGTTTGGTAACATCGAAACTGTGCCTTTTTATTTGTCAGTATCAGCAGCCAGCAGGTGTCTGAGTGAAGAAAAGCCTCTAGCTCCAGTGGGCCAGGAGGTTGAGGGGCTTTCACCCAGCTCCTAGAGCCTGGCACTTGGAACTTGGACTTAAAGCCTCCAAGCTGTAAGAGAATAAACTCCTGTTTGTTAAGGCATCCCGCTTGTGGTATGTTCCTGTCCGAGCAGCGCTGGGCTCAGCACCTGCCGAGACCACGTTGCCTAAGCCTGAGCTCACCTGCTCTCTGCTTGCTCCATCAGTGGGAGCCAGCAGCCTCACTGCAACCGGAGAGGCCATGTGGTGCAGAACTGAGCGAGGCCTCCAGGCAAAAAGCAGAAAAGAATGAGGTCCTCGGCTTAACAGCCCCAGAGGCGCTGAATCTTGCCACCAGCCATGGGAGTGAGCTTAGGGGGGCCTCTGGGGCACTTCAGATGAGACCACAATCTGCCCGCTGGCTGGCTGCAGCCTTGAGAGGCCTTGAGGCGGAAACACCCAACTGGCTGCGCCTGGAAGCCTGGCCAAGGAGATCATGAGATGGCAGCTTTGTACGCTGCTGAGTCACGGGCCAACATGTGGGGCAAATCGTCCGGAGCGGCCCGACCCTGCCAGCTCTGGCTCGGCCATCCCCTTGCTGAGGGTCCCGGGAGCAGCCCCGCAGAGCTCGGGGCCACAGGGAGTGTGGCCAGCAGTCTGATGACCCGTGCATTCCAACTGCCAGGATGCTGCTCCCTGGGAGCCACTCATGAGCAAGATCCTAGTGGCAGGTGTAAGGACAAGGTGCATGCAGGGTCTGCAACCATAGGGCGAGAAGGAAGAGGAGATGAAGACGGAAGGGAGCTCCCCTGCAGGCCGACCCCACATGGGGACCATGGCCATCCCCTGAGGACATCCCTTCTACTTCACTCCCCCCTGGCTTCCCCACCCCCACCTGCCTCCCAAGTCCGGGCAGCTGCTTTCCAGCAGGTATTGGAGGTTCCCATGAGAGTCTCAAGTCGAAGTCTGGGGCAGGTGACCTGCTGGGTCTTCAGCCTTCCTCCTGACTGAGCCTCTGCTCGTGGTCTACACCCACCCTCAGACCCTCCACCTC